AACTTCATATGTGAACTAGATAGGTAACCTGATACACAGCCTCAAAGTGCTCAGAACAACAAGTTACATGTCTGGCACAAGTTCCAATGATATCAATCAAAGAAACGGTAGAGGGAACAGATGTCTATCAATTCCTTTGGTCACTACAAGTCAACTCCTTACAATTGTTAAAGCTGCTACACTGTTGCACTACACACGCAATAGTGCAGCAGTCAGTTTATAGAGCATGCTGTGTACCGAATACTTGCTTACATCATCCTAATGACCTCACTTATATGTTACCAACATGAGGAAAGGGAAAATACACACTTGAAAAACCTAAAATTGATTTTCTCTCTCAAGTGCTAGCCACCACCTCTCTGAAGAACAAAGTTGCTGCAACCTCAAGGACCAGATCCAAAGATTGAAGACAACTTAAGTCCTTAGCTTTGTTGAGTCTTTGTTATTTGTTCTTAATTTGTAATCCTACACTAGTTTCAAGAAGTGTCTTTGTAGGAAAAATTTAAACCATTATTTGGTTTAGTTTCTTGACTAGTGTTAGTCAAGGTTTGTTGCTTTGTAATAGAGTTATTACAAAGAGGCTTGTAATATAGTTATTGCAAGTAGGTGAGAGATTAAGAGTTTAATTCTTAGGTTACAATAGGTTGTAATCTAAAGTTTCTCTGTTAGTGAAGTTGAATTCCTACGAGTGTAGGTCGTGGTTTTTAACCCCGTGAGCTGAGAGTTTTCCATGTAAAATATTGCTGTGTTATTTACTTACCATTATGTGTACGTGTGTGTGTTATGTGGGAACTAATAGAGAACTAGGTTCTTTATATAGTTTGGTGGACTCTTAGTTTACATCAACTATTGAAGCAATCAAACAGAATATAAGAAAAAGAGCAGTAGCTCTTGGATCTTTCCAACTTAACAAGTTATAGAATCTCTCCCCTTGATTAGCTAAATACCTTGCAACAACTTGCATTCTTGATACAATGCTTCTTAACCTATCATACCTTATTCTAACAACATCGATGTTTTGAGATGTTGGGAACGTGTCGAATTCCTCATCCAATTCATCCCAAGGTACTCTTTCATCTTGTGACAACTTGATATCGATGTGTGGTGGATTTCTTGGCCTCATTCTATAATTCCACGTACCGATCAAGAAAAGAAGGACGAATATCGCGCTTAAAATTTGCCTCGGGAAGCACACAAATTGAACGAAGATGATGTGTACTAGTACTGTTGCAAAAGAATTCTTCCAAGTGCAAATCTATTGTTATATAGAATAGCACATATATTAGTCATGTGTCTTTCTGTTATGTGACAACCGTTAGTGAGTTGTCCAATAGTTAGTTGCTTAACTTAAATTAGTTGGATAGTTAGGTGTATAAATGTATCGACAATTATCTTCAATAGAACAACAATTTATTTCTTCTTCAGCTAACTCTCTCTCTCTCTCTCTCTCAAATTCTACCATTGTTACACCTCCAAATCTCTTGCATTTCAGCATGGTATCAGAGCGGGAGATACTGGAATCTCACGTTTTGACAATCTCAAACTGATTGCTGCCTAAATCTCTCAATTTCGTTCGATCAATTACTGTTATTGACATGATAATGGGAGAGAACACAATTGACCACACACATCCTCTATTTTTGGGTCCTTCAGACACTCCGAGCTCTGTATTGATTCTGGTAAAGCTCAATGGGTCGAAAAACTATAGGTTATGGAGTAGATCGATGAGGATTGCACTTTTTCGGGGAAGAAGAAGCTAGGGGTTGTGACCGGAATATGCAAAAAGGAATCCTACAAGACAGTTGATTTACAAGAGCAATGGCAGACCTATAATGCTATTGTTTTGTCATGGATCATGAACAATGTGTGTGATGAGCTTTTTGGTGGCATTGTGTATGCATCGGATGCTCATCTCGTTTGGGAAGATCTACGGTGGAGATTTGATAAGGTCAATCGATTAAGAATTTTTTAATTGCATCGTGAAATTGCAACCCTCTCATAGGGAACCAGCTCAGTTTTATTCTATTTCACAAACTAAAGGAACTTTGGCATGAGTATGATGTGTTATATTCCCTTTCTCTAATTGCGGATGCCCTAAGTCTAAGGAAAATATGGAACAACTACATCAACAACAAGTTATGCAATTCCTTAGTGGATTGAATGAGTCTTATGATCAGGCGAGAAGACAAATTCTCATAAAGACAACTACACATATGCTAAATCAGGCCTATGCAATGATTGTACAGGATGAAAGTCAGCAGAGTGTGGGTGCTAATGTTGTGACTGATAGAGGTGATCCTTCCTTGGCTATGCAAGCAACAGGCAGGGGACAAGGATTTCTAGGCAAAAGGCAATTTCTGCAATGTGAGCACTGGCGGATGAAAGGTCGCACCAAGGAGAATTGTTACAAAATCATTGGCTATCCATTAGATTTTGTTCCAAAGAAGAAGCAGGGTACAAGGAACTCTGACAACTGGAGAAATACTGGTAATGGGAGTCAAAATCATGGTGGAGGAAGGCCAGATAATTGGAAAAGAGAACCCCTTGCAGCTGTGAATCAAGCAGATGTTGGATCATGCTCTCAACTAGATGGGCATGTACAGACAACAACTGAGAACAAGGGATACTACTTCACTTATGTCACACATACTGGCAGTGCATATTTGCTGGATAAAGAAACAGTGAAAAATGTCCTTTATATACCTGATTTTAGGTTTAACCTATTATGAGTCTCAAAGCTCACAAGAGCACTATCTTGCAATATCAATTTATTCCCTGATTTCTATGTATTCCAGGACCTCTGCAATGAAAGGGTGAAGGGGATTGGTAGAGAGAGGTGGATTATATGTGCTTAGAGATGGAAGATTAACTAACAAGCTGAAGGCCATTTGTGCAATGAGCAGACTGTGTGGAGGAAGCAGCAGCCTATGGCACATGAGACTGGGACATCCTTCACTATCAACTATGAATAATATAAAGGAGTTACATAGCTATGTTAGTAGTATAGCATAGAATAATTGCTTTGTTTGCCCCTTAGCAAAACAAACTAGGTTGAAATTCCCACTTAGTGATTCTAGAGCTGATGGATTGTTTCATCTTGTACACATGGATCTTTGGGGCCCTTTTAAGGTTCCTACATTTGATAACAAGTATTAATTCCTATTGTGGATGATCACTCTAGATACACATGGGTACATTTTTTGTAGCCGAAGTCTGAAGTAATAGTAGCAATAAAATAGTTTCTTAACAAATTTGGAGTCATGGTTAAAGTACTGAGATCAGATAATGGGACTGAATTCTTTAATTCACAATGTGCATCTCTGTTGAGTAATCTTGGCATTATTCATCAGAGTAGTTGTCCTTATACTCCTCAGCAGAATGGTATAGTAGAAAGGAAGCACATACATATTCTTGATATTGCTAAGGCCTTGAAATTTCAGGGGTCCATTCCTATGAAGTATTGGGGCATGTGTGTGGAGGCTGCAGTGTATTTGATAAATAGGTTACCATCCAGCATTCTAGGGGGCAAGGTACCTTTTGAGTTATTACATTGTAGAAAGGCTTCCCTTCTTCATCTAAGGGTCTAGGTTGTCTGTGCTATGCAACAAATCTGCCCAAGGGAGACAAATTTGCTGAGAGAGCCAAAGCAGCAGTTTTGATGGGATACTCTAAAACACAGAAGAGATATATACTTCTGGATTTACAAACTAGACACTTCTTTACTAGCAGGATGTTGTTTTCTGGGAGTCTGAGTTTCCTTTTGCCAAAGGAAGCACTAATATGAGCAAGTATGTCTTCTCCTCTACATATGAAGACATCATATTACAGTAGTACTCTTTGTGATCAAACTTACCAGAAACAGCAGCAGGTGTAGATCACACAGATGTTTAAGATGATATACAACATGAAGTTGAGGGGGCAATATCTGATGGTTTTGATGCAGCAGGTTTTCAGGATGCAGAAGCTCAAAGTCCTAATGCATCATTATAGGATGCAGAGTCTCAGAATGAGTTGAACAATGAAATGCAACAATCACTTAAAGAAGAAAATGAAAATGTACCGCCAAACACAGGAAGGAAATCTTCAAGACAAACCAAGGAGACACTATGGATGAAAGATTACATCACTACAAAGAAGGCTACTACCTGCAATTATCCAATTTCAAACTATTTGTCTTATGACAAACATCCTCCTGTTACCAATGTTATTTGGCCAAGTTCTCTCAACAGGTTGAGCCACAGTCCTTCAAAGAAGCTGTCAAGGACAGTAGATGGATTGAGGCTATGAAGCAGGAGATAAAGGCTTTGGAATATGACAAAACATGGTGCATAATTGATTTTCCAGAGGGTAAAAATATAGGAGGCCCAAAATGGGTATATAAGATTAAGTATAAAGCAGATGGGGACATTGAGAGATATAAGGCAAGGTTAGTGGCAAAGGGGTATAGTCAAAGAGAAGGATTGGACTATCATGACACTTTCTCTCCAGTGGCAAAGATGGTCACTGTGAGGTCAATCATAGCACTTGCTGCTTCAAAAGGGTGGAACTTGTTCCAAATGGATGTATACAATGCCTTCTTGCAAGGTGATTTGTATGAGGAAGTTTATATGGAATTGCCTGAGGGATTTAGACAACAAGGTGAGCGGAAAGTCTACAAGTTAATGAAGTCCTTATATGGGCTTAAACAAGCCTCAAGATAGTAGAACATCAAGCTAACAGAAGCACTCCTAAGTGCAAGTTTTGTTCAAAGCAATAATGAATATTCCCTATTCACTCTGAAGAGCCAGGAAGAGGTAGTGATTGTCCTAGTCTATATGGATGATCTTCTTATCACAGGAAGCAGTGCAAGCTTGATTAAACAGGCCAAGAATATCCGACACCAGAAATTCAAAGTCAAGGACTTAGGAGAACTTAAGTACTTCCTGGGAATTGAAGTACTAAAATCTAAGGCTGGCATTTTGTTGAACTAGAGGAAGTATGTAGTGCAGCTCATCTCAGAGATGGGGTTAAGTGGAGCTAAGCCTGCTTGCACGCCCTTGGAGGCTAATGCAAAATTCACTTCAATGGAATATGATCAGGCAAATAAAGTCAAGGATGATTCCCTATTGCAGGAAATCAGTGCCTATCAAAGGCTAGTTGGCAAGCTACTGTATGTCACCATTACAAGACCTGACATCAATTATGCTATGCAAACCTTAAGTCAGTTCATGCAAAGGCCCAATAAGTCTCGTTGGAATGCTGCAGTTAGAGTTGTAAGGTACTTAAAAGGTGCACTAGGACAAGGAATCTTAATGGCTTCTGGTCACACATGGGAGTTAACATGCTGGTGTGACTCAGACTGGGCGGCATGTCCCAACACAAAAAGGTCAGTTACGGGTTATGTGATAAAGTTTGGGAGTTCCTTGGTGTCTTGGAAATCAAAGAAACAACAAATTGTGTCAATGAGCTCAACGGAAGCTGAGTACAGAAGCATGGCTGCTGCAACTGCTGAGATCATATGGTTACTTGGTTTGTTTAAAGATTTGGGTGTGAAGATTACATAGCCAGTGACAATCCTTAGTGATAGTAAGTCTGCTATTCAGATTGCAGCAAATCCGATACTACATGAATGGACAAAACACATAGAAATCGATTGTCATTTCATTATAGACAAGATCAAAGAAGGGGTAGTTCAAGCAATACATGTGAACACAAAGGAGCAGTATGCTGACTTTCTAACCAAAGGCTTAGGAACTGCTCAACATGTGCATATACTCGACAAGCTTGGAGTGCTTAACATTCTATACCCTCCACCTTGAGGGGGCATATTGTGATACAGAATAGCACATGTATTAGTCATGTGTCTTTCTGTTATGTGGAAGTTGTTAGTGAGTTGGTCAATAGTTAGTTGCTTAACTTAAATTAGTTGGATAGTTAGGTGTATAAATGTACCGACCATAATCTTCAATAGAACACTGATTCATTTCTTCTTCAGCTGACTCTCTCTCTCAATCTGCCATTGTTACACCTCCAAATCTCTTGCATTTCAGCAAAATCCATTGAACCATTTGCAAATAGCAATCAAGCCTGTTAATATCCCAGCTATTCGAACATAGTTAGCTTGCTTCTTCTTATGCTCCACATGTTTGAGCCAACATCTAGCATGTATTCTACCACCTCTCTTCTCAATGGTGGCTCTGCGCGACTTAGCCTCGTGGCAACAATTTGAGTAGCTTGGTGCCTTAGATTATCAATTTGGTAATAAGTCAGTGGGTGAGGTAATATAGAGTTGGCAATAAGGGTTGAGAGTACATAGTCAACATATTGAGTAGAGATGAACAAGAAAACCTCACAGCCAATTGAATTTCTCTCATCTTCTTTACACCTGTCGGTGTCAACACTATGAGAAGATTGAAACTGACAATTATCAGCACCTTGCAAATGACAATTTTAGCTCGGCAAGAGAGGATGCTTAAAATAAAACTGAAGAGATATGCAACAACAGTGCAATGTAACAGGAAGAATGATGAATTGGTTGATATCAAAAAATGCAAATACCATTATGCCAGATTGAAGCAAAAGGCCGTATAAATTCAAAATAAACACAACAATCAGCCAGAAAAGAAAATAGTTTTGCTCCTACAATTTGTGAAACAATTCAAAAAATTGATGAAGTTACGAAACTGCATAAGGAGACATGTGTTCCCTCAACAGAACGGTATGTTGTTACTTATCGTGCTATCTATCTTAAGGACGATGCTGAAGTAGTTATTTATACTCTTAAATTGATATGTGAATATAGAAAACTAGAATACTGGTGTTCATAAGATTAGCAGGACCTTATGCTGCTTCAATTCCAGTAGCACTTGTGAACTAATTATTTCTCATCTTTTGTTAGTACCAACTGTAATCCCATCCGGATCCTTTCACCATGAATCCCAAACTATGGTATTGTTGTACATGTAAACATTCTCGACATATTTGCTTTTGCGAAGCGACATCTCTTGCAGATCGCATCGTACTTTATATACTAAAGAATATTTGTAAATACATTGCAGGGGACCTATGTATCATGCGACGCGACCTATGTATATTTGTAAATGAAGGATCTGTTTATATGTGTTCTCAAAGCAGTAGAAATATACAAAACAATCTTCAACATGCAGGAACATATTTTTGGGTACAATACAGGTACATATTTTTTGGTTGTTATGAATTTTACAAGCATAACTAAAGCAGGAGTTAAAGGGTAAAAGACATATTATTATCTTCTGGACAACTTGGTATTAATTTTCGAAAATATATCAGAGTTTATAACTCGATGTTCGCATTTACATCTATGGGAGGCCGAGTTGACAGAAGCATCAATCGTTCAAAGGCCCCATACGTGGTTTCAGGATGAGTGGTCAAAATTATCATCACATTGGCTCTCTGTTGCCGGAAATTGAAAAAAAAAACACAATTTGCCCCGTTCTATATATATGATACTAAAAATGAGATGCATAACAGAATGAATAGTCTGCTCCATGAAGAAGTTGAATCTAAAATTGTTCAGGGCTTATCTGAAATGTTAGACGATAATAATATTTTGGCAAAAACATTTCGAATGGCAAGGGATGGATATAAACACTACAATTCTTATTTATAGTATTTTGTTTCTCATACGCGATCATGCTTCTAAAGTATTTATATTGAAATTGTCCAATGGCTGACATGAGTCTCCACATTTTTGTGAGATTGTATGACAATATAGTAAAAGGAGTGAGATTGAATGACATCATTCATGAACGCGCGAAGCGCGGGCAAATTACCTAGTTATTAATTTATAACTAGGTGACTTTAATTAAAAAGATTAAAATTTCGAACCCATAAGATTCAAATTTTGGCTCTGCCAAGCATGATGTACTAATGCCAATAAGAATATGGTTTGGACTAATCACTGAGGTTTATACATAACTTAGAACTATTGTTAGGAAAAGGAGTGAAATGGAAGAGCACGTAGAAGCATAGCGCAATTATGAAATGCATTTGATAAATACCAAAAGAAAGAAATGGAGTTAACTTACAAGCCTTTTAAGTTCTGCAGTTTTTAAAAGTATGTTTCATGCTGGTATATATCGTGATAGAATTATCCAAAGAAAAAAGAATAACAGAAAAATGAGACAATGCATGAAAGAAGAAGAATATAAGTTAAAATCTGAGAGAGAGAGAGAGAGAGAGAGAGAGAGAGAGATTAGAACAGACCAATCACTATCAAATTAAATCATAGTAGCACCTCCCAGATTTTATTGAAAAGAAATGATCATCCCTACTGATGATAAACTAATAAACAGAAAATATAAATGCTCCCATAACAAGATCAACAAGAATAAACTAAAGAAAAATTTAATTCAAAATCCACCACCAAATGCAACCATGCCTGCAAATCACAACAAGCTATCTGTTTTTGCAGGCAATCTCCTGAAGAAACTTAAGGGCACAGAAGGAAGTTTCTCTCTGAATCTTGGGTGCCTCATTGTATAGAACCCCATAATAGTCACCACAACTTTAAAAGGAGTGACATATAGTACTATTGAAGAAATCAAACAGAATATAAGAAAAAGAGCAGTAGCTCTAGGATCTCTCCAACTTAACAAGTTATAGAATCTCTCCCCTTGATTAGCTAAATCCCCTGCAACAGCTTGCATTCTTGATCCAATGCTTCTTAACCTATCATACCTCATTCTAACAACATCGATGTTTCGAGATGTTGGGAACGTGTCAAACTCCTCATCCAATTCATCCCAAGGAACTATTTCAGCTTGTGACAACTTGATATCCATGTGTGGTGGATTTCTTGGCCTCATTCTATAATTCCATGTCCCGATCAAGAAAAGAAGGACGAAGATGGCGCTTAAAATCAGCCTTGGGAAGCACACGAATTGAAAGAATATGATGTGCACTAGTACTGTTGCAAAAGGGTTCTTCCAAGTGCAAATCCCATTGAACCATTTGCAAATTGCAATCAAGCCTGTTAATATCCCAGCTATCCTAACATAGTTGGCTTTGCTTCTTCTTATACTCCACATGTTTGATCCCACGTCAAGCATGTATTCAACCACCTCTCTTCTCAATGGTGGCTCAGCGCGGCTTAGCCTCGTGGCAACAATTTGAGTAGCCTGGTGCCTTAGGTTGTCAATTTGGTAATAAGTCAGTGGGTGAAGGTAATGTAGAGTCGGTAATAAGGGTTGAGAGTACATTGCCAACATATTGAGTAAAGATGAACAAGAAAACCTCACAGCCAATTGAATTTCTCCCATCTTTTTCACCCCTGCTGGTGTCAACACTATGAGAGGATATGAATGAGTGTAAACTCTATCAGTCTCGAGTGTTGAGAGTCTAATCCTTACCTTCCCAATTTTTGAATCACTGACTTTGTCATTTTTATCTGCACCTTGCAAATGACAATTATCAAACACTCCAATTGTGATCACTGTACAAGGATCAAATACCTCCCAAGTGTATTGTTCATTCCATTTGGGATTGAAACTGTTGAGGATTGTTCTTGTCCTAATCCATTTTTGACCATATTTTGCCACACAATAAGCATCTGTAATCCCGCGGCCATCTCTATTCTTCATCGGGGATAAACCTTGAGCATTCAAGATTCCAAGTTCTAGTACCCCTATGCTTGGTTTCCACAACTCCTTGGATGTTGCCTTGAGATCACTACTATAATGTGTTAATTCATCAAGAACATGATATCCACCATCAAAAGATAGCCTCAAGTGAACCTTGCTGTTTAGTTTGGCAACTTTCTTGTTGCCATCTTCAGACACAACATCCTTCTCAAGACTATACCACTTACTAATTGGAGTACTAAAATCTAACCTTTTTTCGACATCTTGTAAAGGGATGACACACTTCCCAAGTTGTTCATCCTTATTTGGTGCCACCTTATCCTCCACACTCAAAACCAACTGATCCTCAAAAGGTTCTGCAGCTACAAACATCAAATCCTCATTCCATGTTGGGCAAACATTCTTACTCAAAGAAATCTTAGTCCTTAAAGCAACATTTCCTAGTGTAATCCTCGCGTAAATCTCCGGCTGCTGCCTGTTCTTGTTACTTAGCTGCAAATCTTGAGCTTCTATCACATTGACTCTCAGATACCAAAGTCTAGGTGATAAATAAACCTTAGATTTTATATTTGCAACACCATCACCATTTACTGCTGTAGCATCTAAATGTAAAGCTTCTGGAAATCCTTCATCAGCTTGTGTCCCTATCCAAACAGCCAACATTAACTCTCCTTTCACCTTTTCTCCCTTCCTATTCTCCAACCAGTACCATTGAGGAGCTAAAGGACTATCCGGGGGTACCCTTTTTGGCACCTCATTTACCTCAAAAACTACTCTTCCAATCAAACCATCATCATTACCACTAGTTCTTGATTTATCCTTCAAGCAAACTTCAAGAATTCTTGATTGAATCCGGTCCTTCAACACGACGAAAACTTGGTTCCAATCAGGACTAGACCTGTCTTCAAAGTGCAGAGTGAGACCTTTTAAGTTCCCAAGTTGCA